GTCTTACAAAAATGATACATTTTAGACAGAAACTTTTAAATTATTTTCAAGTTTTAGTAAGATAATCATTAAATTATGTTAGAATTATACTCTACTTCCATTTCTTATATGCTGTAGTCTTCTGACATTTATGAGGAATATGTTTTTAAACCTTTCTGAATCCCCAAATTAACAAATACCACTATAGTACAGAATTTCCAATGAGAGTTCTTATTTCTACATCATAATTACCCTCACTTTCAACCTTCTCTAGGTTTTTTCCTCACTTGATAAGCAGTTTTGCATTGACTGAAGCACCTTTTGAAATAACTTCATAATGTTTTTACATAGAACATAAGGAGAATTTGTTCCTGCCAAATCTGGAAGAAGCAACTTCTACATTTCACCTTTAATTTAATCATAAACAATATTTTTGGGGGAAAATATCACTTTTTTTGCCTATCTTCATCTTCTCTTTACTTCCATTACCAGTATCTTTTGGTTTTCCTTTGGGATTGAACCACGCAAGCCCACACTAGGAACTGCCATAAAGAGCTCTTTGGTGAGCATCTGGACAGGCAGAGAAGGATGCAACGGCGTGACCTGATAGGACTTCCAATAAGGTGCACACCTGGACAACTCATGGAGTGCTAGGAAGATAAATGTTTTGTGAAGGGAGATTATGGGGTTTCTGGAATACACATGGATACACACACACATGCACTCATGCATGCACACATACTTGATTGGTGCTAAAGCAAGATTTACTGTTTTGTTGTTATTGTTATAACCTTACTATACTATATTCAAACTAGTATGACTTAGAAAATATAAGTTACAGAAACAGATATAAGATAGTATCCTTGACTTCAAAAACTTATACTTTTGCAGAAACTAAGACATACCAAAGAAAGAGATACAAGAAAAGACAGTGAATTAGTTGCTAAAGTAATCCATACAGGTCACAGCCTTATAGAGTGTTTGGTGAAAGGAAAATCTGAAGTTGACTACAATAGTCAAGAAAAGGAAAATCCCATGGTTTGGTTTGGTTAGACTGAAAGGGGCTTGTGAGGGCAAAGGAAGAATATCACACTGGAGGGGAGGGCAAGAATCACACCTTGAATAGTTTCATCCTATGAGAGATGGGGAGCCACTGGAAGATTTTTAAGCAAGGTTCAGATTTGTGTGTAGAAAGGTTATTCCAAAGGCAGACTAAAAGTGCGTAAGATTTCAGGCAAGGAAGCCAGTTAGGAGGCTGTGGCAGTAATTCAACTGAGAAATAATAAAGATCTGAACAGAGAGGGTAAGGGATGTGGGAAAGAGTTCCTGGCAATCACTACTCCTATCTGCCAAAGCCTAGAACCTTCCTTACTCAGTCCTTACCTGTTCTTGTTCTGATATCATATTGACCTATCTCACAATAAACTTCCCTTCTCTCAACAGTCCAAGGCCATGCTCCATCATGTCAACATGACACTGCAATTCCTTTCAAATTGAAATGTACATTCTCCTTGTCTATAGTCAAGGTCCTTTTCATGTTTGTGTGCAAGTGTCACCTCCTTTGTGAAGGCTCTCCTGGCCACCTCTCCAAGGCTGAGTTAGGCACCAGACATCTGTGTTCTCACAGCATCTTTTGCATTCCACTACCACCGTTCTTATTGTTCTATATCATTATTGTTTGAACACTTGACTAACTACCTCCCAGTAGCCTTGGAGGCAGGGATTCTGTCTTATTTATATACTTGAACAAATAAACAAAGGAAATAGTGGTTGTGTAGATAAGTGAGGGAGAACATAAATTGTCGAGGGCCTTCAATGCTACAAGAAAGAACCTAGACCTACTCTGAAAGCAACAGAAAGTCCTTGGAGGGGTCTGAGCACGGACTTGACCTGATAAAAGCAATACTTTAAAATTAATCTGATGTCTAGGCTGGATTAGAAAAAGAATGGAATTAGATAAACTGGTCAGAATATAATTTCAGCAATTAAAATGAAAAATAATGAGGCACTTCAGCTATAATTCACTCACAACAGAATATGTGTCAATATGTACCTTACATTTTGAAGGATGGTGTATTAAGACAAGATACTTAAAAGCATTTTGGCTTAATCTCTTAGAAAAGTGTTTCTAATACCTGTAGATGATGTTAACAGGTCTTCCTGGGAGGTTAGTGGTGGGATGGATTTTTTTCTGATCAAGTACATTTGCTCTCTCTTGCAGATGCACAATGCACATTAGAATATTAAAGACTCTGGGAAGACCTCAGTAAGGTCAACTATTTATCTTTGTTTAACCCTCTCTTTCCAAATATATCTGACCAGAGAAATATTTTATCATGGAATACCTATTAATTTGCCCCAGAGCACCCAGTTTGAGAGAGGTAGCATAGAGGGGAAATAAACATTTCAAATAGTTCTGGTTATTTGTATGTTATTATACATCTCATCTGTCAGTTTGTTGTAATATGGTGGCTTGCGTATTGCTGTGATGCTGGAAGCTATGCCACCAGTATTTCAAATACCCGCAGGGTCACCCATGGTGGGCAGGTATCAGCAGAGCTTCCAGACTAAGACAGACTAGGAAGAAAGGCCTGGAGATCTACTTCTGAAAATTAGCCAATAAAAACCTCATGGATCACAACAGAACACTGTCCAACTCGCTTGCTTTGGGCATGTCATCAGGAGAGATCAATCACTGGAGGAGGACATCATGTTTGGTAAAGTAGAGGGCCAACAAGGGCAAAGGAGACCCTCAGTGAGATGGATTGGCACAATAACTGCAACAATGGACTTGAACATGCTGGTAATCATGAGGGTGATGCAGTACTGGGCAATCTTTCATTCTGTTGTACGTACGGTCACCATGAATCAGAGTCGACTCAATGCAGTTCTCTGTCTAGCTAGTTCAACAGTTGGTTACATAACTCCTGCTTTCTCCTTCTTCACTGAAGGTAAATAGGTGAGTTTTATAGTTTTTGTTAGTTTTATTAAACTATAAGGAGCCCTGGTGGTGCAAAAGTTAAGCACTTGGTTGCTAACCAAACGGTTTGAGATTCAAACCACCCAGTGGTTCTGTGACAGAAAGATCTGATGATCTGCTTCTGTAAAGATTACAGCCAAGAAAAACCTGTTAGGCAGTTTTACTCGGTCACATGAGGTCACTATGAGTTGGAATCAACTCGATTGCACCCGACAACATTAAACTATAACTTCCTTTGCCAGTCTCTTCAGGCATAGGGTAACAGAATTAGGATCAAATGCTGGCTCCACCATCATGGACAAATTCTTTTATCTCTGTTGTGGACTGAATTGTGTCCCCCCAAAATATGTGTCAACTTGACTAGGCCATGACTCCCAGTATTGTGTGGCTGTCCTCCATTTTGTGATCTGATGTAATTTTCCTACGTGTTGTAAATCCTAATCTCTGCCTATGGTTAATGAGGCAAAATCAGGTTATGTTAAAGAGGATTAGGGTGGGATGCAACACCATTATTCACATCACAGCCCTGATCTGATGTAAGGGGAGTTTCCTCGGGGTGTGGCCTGAATTACCTTTTATCTTACAAGGGACAAAAGAAGAGAGAATTGAGCAGAGAGAGAGGGACCTCATACCAACAAGAAAGAAGTGCCAGGAGTGGAATGTATCCTTTGGACCCAGGGTCCCTGCACTGAGAAGCTCCTAGACCAGGGGAAGACTGATACCAAGACCTTCCCCTAGAACTGACAGAAAGAAAAAGCCTTCCCTGGGAGCTGGTGCCCTGAATTCAGACTTCTAGCTTCCTAGACTGTGAAAGAACAAATTTCTGTTTGTTAAAGCCATCCACTTGTGGTATTTCTGTTACAGCAGCACTAGATAACTAAGACACTCTCTGAGTCATATTTCTTTATGTATAAAAATGGCTCAGGGTTTTCAAAGTATGATTTTAAGCAGTAATGAACATGTAAAGCACCCAGTACACTGCCTAGTCCCACAGGTTCCTTTTGCAAGGATCTGGAATTGTCAATTAGATTGGCATCTTTGAACCTTGATTTGGGACTCATCTTTACAACTCATCCCCCTGCTTCTTACACTGGTAATTCTTCCCTTGCCTAGTTAAGAGACTATAACTTTCCAGAAGAGTAATGGTTTTAAATCTTTACTGATAGAGCACCTAGAGTTAAATTGATTTTTATTTGCTTCAAACTTTGGGAAGGCTCAGGTCTCCCTGTCTTATGTTCCCACAATACTTGCTATTAAAATATTTATCTTACTTTACTGTAATTATGCATTTTTTTCCCTGCTAAACTATAAGCTCTGTAAGGTCAAGGACACCTTGTTTCCTGATATATGCACACACCTAGCAATGCTGGCTGTATAAAGAGTAACCATTCAATAATTACCGAATCATTAATAAGATTAATTCATTATTATCAAAAATATAATTCTGAGAATATTATTTATATCAGAAGGTATTGGTAGAAAACAAGGAGTTAAATGTACTTAAAATCCTCAAACACTTAAAATATCATTAGTGCTACGGACAATAACTACTACTAGAAATCTTACACCGATAGAGTGATTCTTCTGAGATATAGCCAATCGTTAGGATAGAAGTTAAGTAACAAATACACATACACTTCTTAGATAAATTTTTGGTATTTGGGAATGACCCCATTTATTCATTCAAGAGGTGTATTCCAGAAAGGTTGCCTGTCAACACTTTTATACTCTAAACATTAAAAAACCCATTTGATTAGACTGTATTTAAACTCAACTTCAAATATATTTGAAAAACAAAATCCCTTTGTAATGAGGATGTGCCCATACTAATTTATCTGGATTATATATTGAGATTTCTGAATACTGGATTTTTCAAAGTGGGGAACACTCCTACTAACATGGTCAGATCAAAAAGCTGAAGAAGAGTAACACAACTCTAATGTAGAATTCACTTTCACTTTTTAAAAATAAGTACATAAATAGTAAACATAGTGTGTTATTAAGAGGCTTCTCAGTAAACTAGGAAATAAAAAATACTTACTATTATTTTCTTACAGTCCTTTCCTCTGCATAGCTCTGTATAGGTAGAGTATTGTACATATATAACCCAGCTTCCAACAAAAATCACCAACCAGGAAAAGAAAAGATATTTCATCCGCACATACGAGAAGCGAGCCTGTGAGAAAAAGAGCACATAGCAATCATTCATTCAGCATCAAGTCAGCATTCACTGTCCTAGTACATGATTTTTCCCCCTTCCGTGGGAGAACTCAATATATATTCTAGGCTTTCATATGGCAATTCTCCTAGAAAAAAGTGTACTTTCACTGAGTCCAAACAGCACTGGTGTTAGAAAAGGAAGCTCCTTGGTCCTGCCGAAGGAAAATGGAACAAAATACCCCTTAACATGTATAATCTTTCAAATACCATCATCATCAAAAGCTCCTTATTAAGCACAAGCACATGCGCCATGCTACTCTGGATAAGATCAAGTAAAGAGAGATGCAATTCCTGTTTTCTATGAGCTTACAAAGGACTTTTTTGAAACAGCAATCTTAAAGGTCTTTATGGATAGTCATGATAAAAATAATTTTGTTTTAGAAAAATAAGAACAGAAAATCAGGTTATTTTTCTAATGTCTCATAATGAAGCAGCATCAGAATAAGAAATTAAATTCTACCTCCATTCCTATTTCTTTATTGTATCCACCAAGATTTATGTTCCTTCTATTCGACCAACCAAATGCTTGACCTAATAGATATGCTGGAAACTGAGGAGAATGTTACTACTATTTAAGGAGAAATGACTGGGGAAAAAGGGTTAAGATATATTAAAAATAAATTACTTCTTGTATGTCACCTTGTAAGGCCACACAATAGGATCCTCTTTGCATTGTTTTGCTTCCAGGACTCTGGTATCTAACTGCAGCTTGGGCCGGCTGGTGCCTTTTCTCCATCAACCGCGTATCGAACAGTTTAATCTTTAAAAAGACAGACGGTCAAGATATTTTGACCTTTATTTTTTGGCTCTGGTGCGCCAATGGTCTGATTTTATAAACAGTAGAATTTAGGAATATGCAGAGAATTGAGCAGAATAAATTAAAGATATGTAAACAAACAATGAAAAGCTCATTTTGCTTTTACAATCACGAGCCAGTTTCTCACACTGGAAAACAGTGGGATACTGTGAGCACTGTGAGCATGAAAAGAAAGCAGAAAGAGACATAGTGCACCTGTAGAAGACAATGAATGCAAAGGACAAAAAAGAGATTCAGAAAATACTGAATTCTGTTGGCTCTATTTGTAGTTAGATATCTGCCTTTGTGAGGTTCACAGATGGTAAATACGAGTACCGAAAAGCTTGAATACAACAAAGTCACAGTTAAATGATAGAGTCTTTGAGTTTTACTATTAAAGACAAAATGTGTCTTAATGCAAGGTATTTTTATATAGCTCTAAATGAATCTAGAAAAAGAAAATCCAGAAAGAATTACAAATTAAATCACAATAGTATATAGATCAAGGGGTTTGTATGAAAGACATTTAAGATTTCTTGGCCCTAATAAGAGGCCTAAGCAGCCTTGGTGGCACAGTGGTTAAACGTTAGGCTGCTAAACCAAAGGTCAGCGTTCGAACCCACCAGCCACTCCACTGGAGAAAGATGTGGCAGTCTGCTTCCATAACGATTTATAGCCTTGAAAACCCTATGGGGGCAGTTTTACTCTGTCCTAGACTGTTGCTATGAGTCAGGATCGACTTGACGGCAGTGAGTTCGGTGTTTTGGAATAAGAGATCTGGTCATCAGACAGAAAGAGATAGGTACTAGTAGTATCAGGCTTAAATAAGATTAATGAGATAATGCCTATACAGCATAAACACATCACTGGGCACATAGTAAATACTCAATAAATGTTAGCTAAATCAATATGCAAGGTACAGAACAAGAGGCCAATAATGCTACCATTATGATTTGGTCTTGTCATTATAATTTTGTCCTTTCCAAAAAGAAAATGAATCTGAATCTGATCAAGTCTTGAGCTGCAACTACAAATTTACAGGAAATACAGGAGACAGAGGAACATGTTAAGCGACACTATGAGGACACAAGCAGCAAACTCCAGACCTCAGGAAACTGTAATACAAACAACCTGGCTTCTTCGACAAATAAATTACAAGGAAAAAAATTAGGGAGAGGAAACCTAAAGATTAAAAATTATTTAAGAAATATATCAAATAACCACAATATATGGATTTTGGAGTCCTGAATCAAATGAATAGCTTATGAAACAACTGAAAATTTGAACAATGACAGGAATTTGATGATATTAAGGAATTATTTTAATTTTTTAGGCGTGCTAATGGTTGTATGGTAATGTTTAAAGAAAAAAGCTGTTCATATGTACACACATGTATGTGTGTGGCACATATACATTCATATATATAATAAAGCACTTAGGGGAGACAGTTACAGATAACTTCCTAGACATAAACAAACACCTCGAGAGATTGGTTCACTGGTTTTGAAGGTTTAGGGCCATAATCTTGTGGGACAACTCAGTCAACTGGCATAACATAGTTCATAAAATATTTGTTCTACATCCCAGTTTGGTGAGTAGAATCTGGGGCCTTAAAAGCTTGCTAGTGGCCATCTAAGATTCAGCCATTGTTCTCTACTGGTCTGGAACAAAAGAGTAAGAAGGAAACCAAAGAAGAAACTAGTCTACAAGGCTAATAATCTACATGAACCACGGCCTCATCTACCCTAAGACCAGAAGAACTAGATGATGCCCTGCTACCACTACTGACTGTTCTGATGAGAGACACTACAGATGGTCCTAGATGGAATGAGAGAAAAATGTAGAACAAAACTCAGATTCTTAAAAAAAGGCCAGATTTACTGGACCAGTTGAGACTAGTGGAACCCCCGAGACAATTAGCCTGAGATAACCTTTAAATTTTGAACTAAAACCACTCCTGGAGGTCGCTTTTCAGCTAAACAACAGATTGGCTGAAAATAAACAATGTCACCTGTGAGTACTGTGCTCCTTTAAAAAAAAACATGCATATGAGACCAAGTGGTCAAAAGTAACCCTAAAGCAAAGATGAGAAGGTAAGGGGAAGCAGGGAAACTAGATTAACGGAAATGGAAGAACCCGAACTCAAATAATGAGAATCTTGACACATTGTGAAAAATGTAACCAATGTCACTGAACAATATGTATGTTGTTGTTAGGTGCCGTCAAGTCAGTTCTGACTCACAGCCACTCTATGTACAACAGAATAAAACACTGCCCAGTCCTGTGCCATCCTCACAATTGTTGCTATGTTGCAGCCCATTGTTGCAGCACCAAAATTCAAAGGCATCAATCCTTCCTTGGTCTTCCTTATTCACTGTCCAGCTTCCCATGCATGTGAGACAATTGAAAATAACACAGCTTGGGTCGGGTGCACCTTAGTCCTCAAGGTGACATCTTTGCTTTTTAACACTTTAAAGAGGTCTTTTGCAGCAGATTTGCCCAATGAAATAAGTCGGTTGATTTCCTGACTGCTGCTTCCATGGTTGTTGATTGTGGATCCAAGTAAAATGAAATCCTTGACAACTTAAATCTTTTCTCCATTTATCATGATGTTGTGAGGATTTTTGTGTGTTTTCCTTGTGTTGAGGTGTAATCCATACTGAAGGCTATAGTGTTTGATCTTGATCAGTAAGTGCTTCAAGTCCTCTTCACTTTCAGCAAGCAAGGTTGTTGTCACCTGCATAACACAGGTTGTTACTGAGTCTTCCTCCAATCCTGATGCCGTTCTTCTTCATGCAGTCCAGTCTCTCAGATTATGTGCTCAGAATACAGATTGAATAAGAATGGTGAAATGATACAACCGTGATGCGCACTTTCTTGACTTTAAACCACGAAGTATCCCCTCACTGTGTTCGAACAACTGCCTCTTCGTCTATGCACAGGTTCCTCATGAGCACAATTAAGTGTTCCGGAATTCCCATTCTTCACAATGTTATGTATAATTTGTTATGATCCACACAGTTGAAGGCCTTTGCAGTAGTCAATAAAACACAGGTAAACATTTTTCTGGTATTCTCTGCTTTCAGCCAAGATTCATCTGACATCAACAATGATATTCCTCATTCCACATCCTCTTCTGAATCTGGCTTGAATTTCTAGCAGTTCCTTGTCCATGTTCCCACTTATCTGTCAGTCTGTCGTACTGTGGTGGCTGTGTGTTGTTGGAAGCTATGCCACTGGTATTTCAAATACCAGCAGGGTTGCCCATGGTGAACAGGTTTCAGCGGAGCTTCCAGATGAAGACAGACTAGAAAGAAGGACTTGGTGACCTACTTCTGAAAAAAATTAGCCAGTGAAAACCTTATGGATAGCAGCAGAACAATATGTATAGAAATTGTTAAATGTGAACCTAATTTACTGTGTAAACTTTTACCAACAATATAAAATACTATTAAAATGAAAGAAAGAAAAGAGCCATTATCTTTTAGAGATAGACTCTGAAATATCTAGGAATGAAATGATATAATATCTGGAATTTGTTTCAAGATAACAGGAGAAAGTAGGTGGGGGTATAGCTGAAACAAGATTGGCTATGTGTTGATAACTGCTGAAATGGGGTGACAGACACATGCCTTTTTTTGTATGTTTAGAATTTTCTATAATAAAATACTTAAAAAAAAGTTTAGTCTGGTTTCTTTAATATAATGTTTTTTTCCTACTGATTTTAAATTTTTTATATTGTACAGTAAGGCATTCACTGTCACACCAGGACATCCCCTTCCCTTAAACTCACTCTGCAACTGCTGTACTGTCTACTATGTGCCAGGTACAGCATTTGGCCCTTTGAGCACATCTCCAGTTACAGGGATCAAAAATTAATAATCTACCATACAAGTACGCTTCAAATAGTTGGAAGTGTCACCTGAAGAACCACAGATAGCATTGCTTGATTTTACTTTTAGAAGTCCAATTTTAAATTAATATTTTACATGATTTTTTTGAGGCAGGGTTTTTTTTTTCCTTGATTCTTTTTTTTTTTTTAACTGTACTTTAGATGAAGGCTTACAGAGCAAACTAGTTTCTCATCAAACAATTAATACACATATTGTTTTGTGACATTGGTTGCCAACTCCATGACATGTCAACACTCTCCCTTCTCG